GATCTCCTGAGCAGTTTGCACATAGTGTGCGCGTGAAAGGTAAAGAATGAATAGGAAGACTGCAAGAAGCACACACGGGAGGTTTATTGCATCGTTTCGCGGTATGCCCAAGCAGTTGGCAAGATTTGCATCGCATTGGGTTGGGGTAATAGGGTTTTACTTTTGCACTTCTCCAAGATACTTCTACCTTTTCAGGTAACTCCAAAAAAAAGATCAAAGGTAAGTAAAACTACACCCGTGGGTTGGGGTAGTGGTACTCCCTCCGTCCGCCTAGTAAATTTGTAAACATCGACTACACCTCGTCTTCTCATGTTTTCTCTTTCTCGCTGAAATTGTTGAGACAGGGAGCAAAGATTGTACCTTTCACGCTATTAAGGTTGTCATGGTATTTCGCTTCAATTTCACACACACCASGAAGTTTTTTGGCTGAAATGAACTTTTGGGCAATTTGGTTATTTTTTACCAGCARHAGAAGATTACCAGCACGCAACTCAGAAATTGAGATGATTTCTTTGCTAATAGCTTCTAAGGCTCTGTGGACAGCGAAGCAAGAATACTTCGAAATTGGCTTGTTTGAGTCCGTTGCACTAATGAGAATATATTTCGGGTTTTCTTTCTTGGCCTGCGGCAGGTCAGGAAAGTTGAGGGGGAGTAGGTGGGTTTCTTTCTTTTTGGCTGGGATCCAGGGGCAAGCAATGCAAACCTGTTATCCCCAAGGTTGGGCGGCCCGGGGGCCATATTAAACAAATCTTCACACTTGATGCACTTATCTGCAATACACTTAATGATTGAAAGTATACAAGAATGGTTCTAAATGTAAACACGTGTACGTATCCGAAAATGTACGATGTGCAGAATGTCAACAATGCGTAAAGAGCGAAACACGATTTCTCAGAGCGAGCACTTGTCGAAAACTGTCGTAAAAATTGAACAATGAGAAATCGCGCGTTAAAGTGTTAGTTTCTGCCCAAGCGCTAATATATCTGCTAGCCGCTTGGTCACTATTTTCCTTCTAGCTTCGAAAATATTTCGAATTTCCATATTTTTGGTTGGTTTAAGCAAAAAAAAAAAAGTCGATTTTTGTAAGCTTCTAAAGCAGGCTCTCCCTTAATGTACACTTATATATTTAGAGTAGAGTCAGTCGGATGTTCGAAAATCGTGATATTAGTTATATGGGGTCTAATCCTCATCCGATTTTATCCATTTTAAGCACAAATATACATTGTTATTAGTAAAATAGGCTCCCTCGTTTTCACTAAAATCAATCACATATTGGCCTATATATGCGGTATAAAGTAAAGCGGAGGTTTGAACATTTTAGCATTACTTACATATAAGGCGGCTAAGAAATGCCTTCATCCAATTCAACCCATTTTTAACATACAGGCATACTGTTATCAGGAAAGAATGTGTTCCGAATTTCAAGAATATATGCTACACATTGACCGATATAGACCGATAAGATGTTCGCCGTAAGAATTGGGTCCATTTATTCGGTAAGTGGGGGCTTGAATAATTGTAGTGCGACTTTGAAAATTTTTGGTCATAAGTCATTTAATTTAAACGCACTATTCGGGCAAAGTTTTATCCTGATAAATTCAATCGAGCTTTGCATACAGAAAAGTGAAATAATCAGAAGATAATTAAGATTGCGTTATCTTGCAAGTATCATTTACGCACTGTAACATAGGGATGTCAAGATAATATTCCACACCAAATCCGTCGAGTAAAGCCTTCTAGTACCATCCCGAGTGTGAAATTTGATGTCTGGCGTATTTATTTATTAATTTATCGCGCTTTTAGTAGTTTTGCTACAACAAGTCGTTTTCTTTAATTAATTAAAATTGCATTTTCAAAGTTAATATTCGTTGCGTATTATATCAGAGTATTTTTTTTTACAGAAAAATGCCTCGTCTTCGTAAAAGAGCAAAAAATATTGGCCGACGTACTCGGAACGCGCAATTGGCTTATAATCGTCGATTAAGTGTAAGATTTTTCACCCTTACTTAAAACATGTTAAAGTTTTTATTTACGATACAGCTATTGCCACATTTCACGGATAATATCGCTGCCTGAAATAAGTCGTTTCATTCGCTTAAAATTTTCGGTGACGAACAGAAATATTCGAGTCCATAGACAGTCCTGCTATTATTCAATCTACGAATTTCATCCGTGAAGTGTTGCAATAGATGCATCTTTTTGGTGAACATAGATTTACATTTCACTTCACTCATGGAGTATATACTCACACGCTACGGATTGGTCGAATTTTGATGAGTGTACATATAATGACGTTAGACATTAAAGTAACTTTTTTATAGTAATTTTAATCAAAACGGTCCAGATTGTTACGCTTATTAAAAAATGTTTGAAATTTTCGAATTAACTATGTGTGTACAGGACAACTATCGGCTCTGCTAGTGTATATATAAAATTGCGTAGATGGGGGGATGCAAGGCATAAGTTGAGTATGTCGGAGTCTATTCTGAATAGGTAGGAGTTTAGTCTGATACATTATCCAGAACGAAACTGCTTTAGGGTCAATCCTGTTTCACGCGCAACTCAAGCTCTTGTTCTGCGACTGGTGGTGTTTGGACTCCAAAAATGCCATTCACTGAGAAAGAGTCCGTGATGGTGCTAATAGTTCCACTGTGAATGGCGTTCGGAACTTGAACCTCTACAGGTAGTATGCGGGCCTCACTGTGTAAGTGTTCGATGGGAGACATCCCGTAATTGTCTAGAGTGAGGTATTTTGGCATGTTTGTATTTTCATCATTTGGGTCGTACTGCTTCCAGTCGACAATATTGGTGCGACGTAGTTTTCTACTAACCGCCTGATTGTCTTGTGTGTCGCCAGAAAGTGCTGCAGGTTAGCGATTTGAGGATTTTTCTGCGCCTCTGTACTTAAGTGATCAGACTGTCGAATGAAACACCTAAAATTTTAGGGTGATTTACCGTGGAAACTCTGACCCAATCGATCGATAGGGTAACCATGGATTTAGCAGCGGAGTGTTTTAGGTTCCTAGCATTGAAGAAGTGGGAGGGTTCTGGGAGATGGGCGTTCACTTTTGAACACATGGTATCAATTCTATTGCCCGACGTCATTGTGGTACAATCATGTACGTATTTGTTCCCTCCGGCGGAGAGATTGCATGACTTCCGGTATTCTACTCATTTCGTCTGTTTATGTTGATTTATCACAGTAAGTTGAAATCCCTAAAGCGGGGATTACAGGGATCGACCTGGCATAAGGACTCGCGCTGGTTTGCTAAGACCACTGTGAAGTGAGTAGCAGCAGCGGAATAGACGTTCGCCAACAAATACGTTAGTAGGAATGCGTAGTGAGTTGAAGGTGTTCTCGGTGAATTCCGTAAAGCCGACCGAATTAGATTTGTAAAAGTTAATGTAGATAAGGTTGTGCACCGGAATAGAGTCGGAGGGTTTTTCGATCGAGGTTTTTATGGGCATACTGGGAGTCATGATGCCTAGTTGAGCTTCTTGGGACCGTATAGTTTCATTGTTGACTACTAGGCTGGTGTAGCGACCGTTGCATGAATTGTATCTAATCGAAATGAGTCTCAAGCCAGCATTAATCAAGAGGATAGGTGTTGCCCTAATGATGACGGTATTACCATGATAAATATCGATCCAAACGAGGTTATATGACCCATGAACCATAATATTTTTTGTATTCGTTACGTATTGGATTCTTTAAAAAAATTTAATAAAAAATAATTTTTAATCCCAAATACCGGGTTGAAAAATAAAAAAAAGGACTAAAATTTAATAACAAATCATTTGTAGGAATTATTTCATTCTGATTTTGTTTTTATATTTCAAGCCTTTATATACAATTTTCCAAACTATCTTAAATAACTAAATATATGTGAATGTTGGCGTGTATATAGAAACTTATTTATGCTGCATGGCATGGGGTAGTTTTCAAGAACACATGTACATTTGTAATCAATTGCCTAAATGCATACATATCTTGGGTCAAAGTGGCCATACACGACACACACAAATCGTTTCGCCATACACGGCATACAAATCCATTTTGCCTTCGCTCTTCAAACAGTGAATATGTGCGACAAGCAAGGGAAAAATTGATCGTCCGCGATTTTCCTATTCATCGACACGAGAAAAATGAGATTTTGTGTGCACACAGCGCCATACACGACATACGTACATGTGTGTACACCGATCGTAAAAAATCAAACATTTTTGCGAACATGGATTGGATGCGCACAAGCCCATACACGAGTAAATCGCAATTGAACACATACCAATCGAATGCACATGTGTGTCGTGTATGGTCACTTTCAATAGCTAATCATATGTATTCATCTTAAAAGTGCCCATACACGACACACAAGTGCATTCGGTCGGTGTGTTACGATAGCCTCCGCATAGGAACCGTACCATAACTGTAAATAAAATTGAATTTGCATTTTGCAATTACACTTTTAAATCTTAGTTAACGTTTTTGATTGTTTAAGAATTCAATATGCTTTTTCCGTTCTCAATCCAATAATCCATTATAATCAAAACAATATCGCTCGCCCTCACAAGAAGGCATAACAATAACAATCGTAAAGAAACCAGAACGCTTAACGTTCTACTGGAATTTGCTGTCACAGCTAATATTGTAATTAACTCTTTGTTCTGGATTCAATCAAGCTTATGTTTACACTTCAGCTTAAGCTTTAACTAAGTCAAAAATGTATATATATTAGTAAATCAGAAATAAAGATTTCAATCCACAGGAACCACACCTGTTCTTATTTTTCCGCGCGTTCGCCGATGTTAAACATATATTTTTTTTCAAATTCCCTCGTCGCGGGAATTAATTGGCGCCCAACGTGGGGCACGATTCAAAAAGTGCCTAGTATAGTAAAAATTATAAAAAGTTGAGTTATCAAAAATTGTGAAGTTAAAATTATAAAAAGTTGTGTTATCAAAAGTTGTGAAGTTAAAATTATAAAAATTTAACACGAAGTGACAATCACAGAATAATAAAAAAAAAGATTTTTTTTTTTAAATAATTTATTAAAACCAAGAAGTGTAAGTAAAAAATTTTCACAAAAAAATTAACTGTGTGAGTAATAACATGCAACGAAGTGAAAAACTTTCTTTAAAAAAAGATCTGTGTGAATAAGAACAAGCAACGAAGTGACAATCGCAGGATAACAAAAACAAGAAATTTTAAAATTTATTTAAAAACTAATAATTAAAACATAACTAATCAACAAAATACGAAACTTTAAAAAACGGAAAGAGTGACTTAAACTGCAAAAATAATCATCAGTCGCAAAGGAAACAGTGGTAACAACAGCATCATTAACAGGAATTAATACAAAGTCAGCGAGAGAATACATTCGTAAGTTTAAATTAAAAGCAACTATATTTAGAATATATAAGTATTACAAAATGGGGTCCAAATATTGAATATAAAAAACTGTCATATTGCGACGTTTGTAAGGGCGATCACGATACTAAGAAATGTCCTAAACTCAAAAAACAAAGAAATAAAGACTATAACTAATGGTTTGTACAACCAATAAATTACCTAATTAAAAGCTGCGATTCACCACCCTCGGGGGGACCCTCCAGCTTATAACAAATTAAAATTCTCTGCGATTCACCACCCATGGGACCCTCCAGAGATTTATAAAAAAATAAATAAAAAAATTTTAACAATAATTAAAGTGTCGACCAGCCATATAACGAAAATATATTGAAATCGCGATTCACCACCGCAAGGAGGACCCTCCGGTTTATAATAAAGCTTAATTCTGCGATTCTGAACACCAGACCCTCCAGAATAAGAAGCACCTCTTCCTAGAAGGGATCACAAAAAAAAACTAATAAATATAAAGAATTATCTCAAATTGTTACGGTTGTGGTGAAAATAACCACAATATAAAAATAATTAACAAAAAAGACCAGAACCTGAAAATTAGACAAAATTTCTAACGGTGACGCTTTGACCATACATCTAATAATACGCCTTATAGCTGACAGCAATATAGTATTACTTGAGGAAGTAGAGCAATTGCGCTCACAAATAGTGGGCAATACCAATAGTGCAACCGATTTTCTAACACAGACGATAGAAGACAATATAGCCTGTCAAGAATCATTCGACGTATTTAAATCCGTACCTGAATTTACTGGTAGGATGAATTCATATGTTAGTTGGAGAGAGGCAGCGTTTAACGCTATGAGCCTATACGTGAGGGGCAGTAGGAAATACTTTGAAGAAACAAAATAACGCATGATGCAAATGATGCACTAACAAACCATGGAACAGTCCTCAATTTCGATGCAATTCTATCTCGTTTAGACTTTGCATATGCGGAMAAACGTCCAATACATATAATCGAACAAGAACTAAGCATCTTAAGGCAGGGTCCAATGTCGGTTGTAGAATATTACAACCTCGTCAACAAAAAGTTGACGCTATTAATAAACAAAGCAATCATGGTACATGGAAATAATGCAGACTTGATAAAAGAATTAAATAAAAAGAATAGAGAACATGCCCTAAGAATTTTTTTAACAGGATTAAACACCCCTTTACGAGACATAATATTCTCTCTAAACCCACAAGATTTACCTGACGCTTTAGCAAAAGCTCAGGAACTCGAATAAAACAATCCAGGTTTGCTCAAAATTTTATGTACGATAGAAACAAGGTGAAGCCAATGTATACAAACAATAATTTAAGATTTCCTCAATGGAATAACCTCCCTAACATACATTATACTTTTCCGAAACCAACTCCTATGGATATAGATCCATCTGTATCCAGATTTCATAATAGAGACTTTAATGTGAGGGGACAACCAGGCAATAGCAATTTTTATCAATAACAAAGAAATAGCAATTTTAATCAACATACAAAACCTATACAGCCAAATACAAACATTCAGCCCCGTAGGGGATAAAATCAGGAGGGACATGGGTTAAAACGGCCAAGGGAA